GCGACTCGACGGCACATAACAACAACAACAACAAATTATTTTTGGCTGCCATTCATTTAGTGTCCAGTTCATGGTGACCTTGTGCACAACAGAGTGAGAATTTCCTGTTCCTGTACCTTATCAATGATTAATTGTGGATCAGACCTTATGATAGGATTTTCATTGGCTGTTTCTCAGAAGTAGATTGCCAGGACTTTTTTCCTTGTCCATTTTAGCCTGGAGTCTGGTCAAACCCAAAAAGCATCATACCAACATGCAGGCCTCCATTTGTATGAGTGGGACCTGTTCATAAGGTGCACTGACTAGGAATTAAACTGAGATCTTCATGAAAGGCAAAAATTCTATCACTAATCACCAATGCCTTAGCTAGGGTGATGCTGATAATTGAGATAGAGAGACTAAATAAAAAGGATTGCTTGGCAAGATTTAATGGATGTGTGATTAGTTTTGACAAGTGCATAAAGTAGAGGAGAAATAATAGGTGAGTGCTAGCTAGGTTTCTAACATGAGTAGCTGGACAGTGGGTATCTTTGAATTTTATTGAAGGGAATGGATAGGGGATAATAACAAGCTTGGTTCTGGACTTGTTAAATTTGAAGTACATTTGGCAACCTAAATGGAAAAGGCTGATTTTAAGTATAAATTTAGGGATCATCTGCATTTAGATGGTAAAAAATCAGAATATTTTCAGAGAGCTCATCTTAAAAGTCTAGTCATTACTCTTTATTTCCATGTTTGCAGCAATCTTCTAACTAGTTTCCTTTAACTCTAGATTTTGCTCTCTCTACTTCTTTTGCTTTATCTAGGACTTGAAGCACTTGCTGCAGAAGATCAAAGACTATAGTCTTAAATATGGGTTATATCTTAGCATCAAGAAAACAAAATTTCCTCCCCTTTGGATCAGTAAACAACATAATGATAGATGGAGAAAAGATTGACGTTAGTGATTCACCATTGATTGTATCCACAAACACCACCTTTGGTAACAGCAATCAAGAAATCAAAAGATGTATTGCATTGGCATAGTCTGCTGTCAAGACCCTCTCTGATGTGATAAAGACCAAGGATGTCAGTTTAAAGACTAAGGAGTGCTTGAAGAAAGCCATAGTATTTTCAGTTACTTCTTATGCTTCTGAAAGTTGGTCTGTCCAAGATGATGAAGCTTTGTCTCACATACTTTGGCCATATTGTCAAGAGGGACCTGTCCTTGGAAAAAGATATGCTGGAAAAGGTCAAGGATCTGAGAAAGAGAGGAAGACCCTTGACAAAATAGATTGATACAGTGACCATAATAATGGATTTTAGCTTATTGAGGATGGCACAGGATAGCATAGTGTTCAGATCTGTGTTTGTAGGGTAACTGAGTTGTCATTTGGTTGGTACCTAACAACAGTAGAGAACTTCGTAAAGTTTCCTCAGTGTCTCTTCTTGTTTATAAACCTTTATTAACTCCTTGTTGGTTACTGGGAAATAAATATGTTCTTCATGTGTTATAAAACTCCTGTAATCCATCCCGTTTTCCATATCTGCTTCATTTTTTACCCTCTGGGCCCTGTGTTTCAGGCTACTCAGACTACTCTGCATTTCATGTCTCTAGCTCAAATGTAAATGTTTAGAAGTTTTCCACATCCTAGAACTAATTGTTCACTCAGGGTTTCACCTGTACCTGATATGTAATCTTTTTTTCCCCCATGATATATCACATTGTTTATGAGGCTTGGTTTAGACAAGTGATATGTATTCCCTGACTACACCATGTGCCATTTTTGCAAAGGATTAAAGTCACGTTCATTTTTGTATACTCAGTGCTCAGTACTTGGTATTTTGGATATTTAGATACATAAAATACTTGGATAAGTAAATTAGTCTGGAGGTTCAATTTACAAAAAGAACAATCTACATAATCTAGTCACCTACCCTCCTTTCCTGCCACTACATAATAGTTATTTGCCATTGAGTTGATTCCAATCTATAAGATCTCTGTGCTTCCAAATTAAGTTGTACCGCATAGCGTTTTCATGACTGTGATCTTCCAGTAGTGCATTGCCAGGCCTTCCTTCTGAAGTGCCTCTGGGGGTATTTGAACTGATGCCCTTTAATTAGGGACACAATGCTTAACTTGTGTAACCTAAGGATTCCCATGCATACATTCAATACTCATTGCCATGAGATTGGAAATAATTGATAGCTGAGCTCTAACTGGTTTTCAAATACTGTAAATTAAAAAGGAGGAGATTGCCCATCTTTCTCCTCTGGTGGATTTGAACTAGCAGAGAGAGGCTGTACCTTTGGGTTAGCAGTATAACTCCTTACAGATTAGCCCTGTTATGGTACTTGGAAGATCCTGTATTGCTTTTAGCTCCCATTATGGATGTGAGTGAAATGAATTCTCATCCTTATTAACATTTATTGATCAATTATTATCTATATCATGCTAGTATATTGCTAGTATTTTGCACATATCTATTCCTCCTAACAAGGAGCAATGGTTAAGTGTTCAACTGCTGACCTAATGGTAGGCAGTTGAGACATACCATTCACTCTTTGAGAGACATATACATAAAAATTACAGCCTTGGAAACCCTGTGAGGAAGTTCCTCTTCTGTCCTATAGGATTGCTATGAATCAGAAAAAAATGCAACAGCAAAGGGTATTCCTCGTAACAAGTAGATTAAAAATCTGAGTACAGAGGATTAAGAAACTTGCCCAAAATTACTTACCTAATAAATGGAGGAGGAAGAATACAACCCTTAGCATCAAATTATTAATGACATTTGTTGGAACCTACATGGACCTCTGGGTGGTGCAGTAGTTAATTACTTGGCTGCTAATACAAAGGTCAGCAGTTTGAACCTACCAGCAGGAGGAGAGATCTGATGATCTACCCATGTTAAGATCACAACCTGGAAAACCGTATGGGATGGTTCTGCTTTATCCTGTAAGATACTGTGAGTCAGCTTCAACTGAGGAGTGTCTAATAATCAAGCCACTTTTAAGGTCTCATCTTGCTTTCATCACATGTCAGCTTCCAGCATTTAAAAGACCTTTTAAATTTCATATATACACACTTCTGTTTCTTTCTACCAAGACTTGAGTAAACATGTAGTCTTTCCAAATGAACAATCCCCTTTTCGTTTCTTTTCCTTTTTTTTAAAAAAAAAGGTGGTTTTATCTTGTTGTTAAGTGCCACCGAGTTGAGTACAATTCACAATAACCCTATGAACAACAGATCTGAACCTTGTCCTACCCTGTCCCATCCTCACAATCTCTGACACACTCAAGCCCATTGCTGCAGTCACTGTGTCAGTCCATCTGGTTGAAGGTCTTCCTCTCCTTTCCCATCCCTCCACCTTTTCAAACATGATGTACCTCTCCTAGGAACAGCCTATTCTAGCAAAATGCCAAATTATGTGAGACGAAGCTTCTCCATCCTTGCCTCCAAGGAGCGCTTTGACTTCATCTTCTCCAAGACATACTTGTTTGTCATTTTGGCAGCCCTTGAGATATTAAGTACTCTTTTTCCAACACCACATTTCAGAGGCCTCAGTTACTCTGTCATCCTTATTCATTGTCCTTCTCTCAGATTCATAGCAAGTGACTGAAAAGACCATGGCCTGAATCAGTTAGTCTTCAGACTGACATCATTGCTCCTCAATAATTTGGAGAGGTCTCTGACTCCAGACTTTCCAAGTGCAATACGTCTGCTGATCTCCCAACTGCTAGTACCAAGTGTATTGATTGTCAACTCAAGTAAAATGGAGTATTTATAGTCTTGGTCTTTTTCCCATCTACCATGATTTTGTATATCAGTGAGTGGTGAGGATTTTTGTTTTCTTGATGTAGAGATGCAGTCCATATTGAAGACTGCATTGTTTAACATTCTGCAACAAGTGCTTCAAGTCCTCCTCACTTTGATCAAGCAAGGTTGTGTTATCCACATAACAAAACAACAAACTTAAGAAAGTTAACAGACTTGGAGGACGATTACTAAATTACCCTCCCTCCTCCTGAATATTCCTGGACTTTTTGTAGGTGATAACTCAAAAGCATGCTAGCCCTTTTTCTCACCTTAACTCCTTTAGGTGACCCTCAGCAGACCTTCTTGGTTCCATAGACTCATGCCCTTTAGATTCAGTTAGCTCATTGTAATAACTTGAGGTGATTCAAGTAAAACTGAAGTTGTGAAGAATGCCTACTTTTGAACCTACTTGTGTCTTACCAGGACGTTTATTCTAATTAGCATGCATCTCAGTCCTGAGTTGACTTCAGAACATTTTTTCCCAACATCTGAAGTTTCCTAAGGAAACTTTCTTAAGCTATGCAGTAATTTTCTTATTCTTTTTTTTTTAACAAAAAAACAACAAACTGAAACATTTTATATATCTTTCAGGCAATAGAAAATTTGCGTGTATACCTGTGTGAAAAAATCATAGCTGAGAGACATTTTGATCATCTACGTGCAAAAAAAATACTCAGTAGAGAAGACACTGAAGAAATTTCTTGTCGAACGTCAAGTAGAAAAAGAGCTGGAAAATTGTTAGACTATTTACAAGAAAATCCCAAAGGGCTAGATACCCTGGTTGAATCTATTCGACGAGAAAAAACACAGAACTTCCTGATACAGAAGATTACAGATGAAGTGCTGAAACTTAGAAATATAAAACTAGAGCATCTAAAAGGTAAGACCTCTTCAGTTTCTAAAAGTTAATATAAATGTTGTTGTTGTTGATTGCTTTCTAGGTGAGCATGACTCTAGCGACCTTATGAACAAAAGGCCTGAAGTCCCTCTACAGCGATCGACATTTATCAAAGTTCATAGAGTTTCTGGAGACATGTTGTTTAGGAAGTGGATGCCACTCCTGCTTCTAAATGTAGCAATGCTATTAAAAAGCAAAACTAAATAAAAGAAATCCAGAAAGTAATATTTGTTTTTATTCATAGCATTAAGCTTCAGAATTTCATTGGATTTACTTTTTTTTTTAAACCTTATAACATTATAAGGATATAGGTTAAAGCTCATTATTTAGGTAACCAAAAGATCAGTGGTTTGAACCTACTAGTATCTTCACAGAAGAAACTACCTGGCAATATGCTCCTATGAAGATTATACACACCTAACAAGATAATAATTATTGATCTCTTTTTGTTTGGAGCAAAGAATAGCAAAGACTTAAGAAAGCAGCTAGTCCAAGGGCCCTGCAGCCTTTACTAGCCTCAGATCTGAAGAACTGTAAGGTGCCTCGCTACTGACCACTCAGATTGGGATCACATTAGAAGGTCCTGGGGCAGAGTGGAAGAAAAATGTAGAACAAAATACAGAACCAGAAAAAAGACAGACTAGTTGCACCGTAGATCTATAGCCCTCAGAAACCTATCAGTCTTGAAGTTGAATTTACTCCCCAATATCTTTTTCCAGTTAAACAATTAACAAACCTTTATAGTGAGCAGAGGAAATATACTTCCAGAACAGTCAGCAATCTAAGACAAGGACAAATGGAAACAGAAAACCCATAGAGAAAGTAGGAAGAATGCTGTCTTGAAGGGGTTGCCACAATGTTAAGAAACAAAATGTATATAAATTGTTAATGAGAAACTAATTTGCTCTGTAAAATTTGACCTAAGCCCCAGATGTTTAAAAGGTAAAAAAGATAGCAGCCTAGGAAACCCAGTGGGGCAGTTCTACCCTAGTATATAGAGCTACTATGAATCACATGATTTGATGGCACACAACAACATCACTGTTATCACTGCATTGGGAAAGTGGAATACCACTTGAAAGCCTGAATTTATATTCCCTTAAAAGCACCCTCTATAGAAAATATAATGAAATAACAATATACACAAGAATTTTTTCCCTACAGCCTCAAACTGAAAAAAACATTTCTGTTGTGATTGAACCTACTCACAATTGACCCTCCACTGGGTTTTTCAGGCTGTAAATTTCAAAGGGAGAGATTACCCATCTTTCTCCCTTGGTGCCGCTGTTAGAGTCAAACCTCAAGAGAGGCATGAGCTTTGTGTTAACAGCATAGCTCCCTACAGACTACTTCCAGAACTTTCTTTTGTAAAGTTAGCAGAATGTAAAATGTAACCTATTCAGAAGTGACCAGTGAATATGCTGTGTCTCATACAGAACAGCCTACTAAGTACCTTGCTTAGTCCTATTTAGCTAGTTTTTCTTTCACAAGTTGAGGCACAAGATGAAATAGTTAACTTATGTTTACAGGAATCATGTAGTATAAAACATACATAGTTCTAAACACTAGCATCATATCCAGCCTCACAAAGTGTACACACTAAGAGGTTTGGAAATTGGGAGTACTTAAGGAAATAGCAAATGCTTGTTTCCCATTTATTTCACCCTCCAGAGTACACTCACTGATTGGAATGCTATGGAAAAAACTGCCTGCACAATTCTAGATTCATATAAGTCAATATGCATATTATATAGCTTTACTCTATGCGTTGAGATTACTGAAATGAAGAATACAGAGCTTTGCCGTGAAGGAACTAACTCACAGTCTGTATAACAGGTGAACCTTGATTTGCACGGTTCTATTCTGGAGACTCCATTGCATCCATTTATCAGTTCTGGCAGAAGTCAAATACCTTTTTATCTTCCCCCATAGTTTTTATTGTTATGTACCATAGAGTCAAAACTGACCCAAAGCAGACCTTCTGGCGGGTTTTCAGAGGCAGTTGAATCGCTTGGGAGGAGATTGCCCACTTTATGCCCCTGGAGCAGCAGGTGAATTTGAACTGTGTGGCTTTGAGGTTCCATCGTAGATCTCCCCCCAGTTTTTATTGTTACTGCTTTTTTATTATTGTTTTTGTGTATCATAAAGTGAGAACCAACCCATAGCTGACCCTTCAGATTTTCAGAGGCCAGTAATAGCACAGGTGAAGATTGCCCATCCTTCTCCCATGGAGCCTCAAACCACATGCCTTTGGGATTGTAGTATAGCCTCTTGCCAGTAGGCCACCAGAGCTCTCTTTATTAGTAGTATCTTAATAAATCTGATCTTTATCTTTGGATGTTAGAAGGATTACACATAAACATAACAGTTATATTGTAATACTTAAATTTTTAAAACCACATAAATCATAAAAATTTACTCCAGTGGTGAAAAGGGGTTGAATAATATTGACATTTTGTCATTTGCAGTAAAAATTTGAATTGTGGAAAGTTCTGGTTATCCCTGGGAATCAGGATGGCATTTCTAGTCAGAAAGTAGCCTGTTCACTTTTATGTCATTTGAGTTGAACATTGCCTGACTTTCTATCCGGTAAGAGTCTCTATCTTTGTAGACTAGGCAGTATAGACTGCTTTATGGTGGTGTTTTGAGCAGTTAATCTTAACACAATGTGCATCTACAAGTAAAATCTGAGAATTCTAACATCAGCAAACTACTTTCCGTAACATTGTTTATAGTACACATTTGTTGTTGTTGTTATGTGCTGTCGAGTCACTTGCAACTCATAGCGACCCTATGTACAACAGCCCTAAACTCTGCTCTGTCCTGTGCCAATAGCACCATCACCAGTACACCCATCCCAATTACCCCAGTCATGAATCAATCCACCTCATAAAGGTCCTTCCCCTCCTGCGCTGTCCCTTCACCCTACCAAGCATGATGTCCCTCTCCAAAGACTGGTCCCTCCTTACAACATGTCCAGAGTATGTTAGACGGAACCTCAGAATCTTTGCCTCCAAGGAGCCGACCAACCAGTTTGACACTTTCCAGGATGAATCTGTTTTCCTAGCAGTCCATGGTACCCTCAATACTCTTCTCCAGCACCAAAGCTCAAAGGCATCAATTCTCCTGTCCTCCTTAGTCACGACTAGAACAACACATTAGCAGAGAACTGCCAGAAGTCCAGGCTGGGTTAAGAAGGGGTCATAGTATTCGGGATATTGTAGCTAATGTTAGTTGGATCTTGGCTGAAAGCAGGGAATACCAAAAGAATGTATATCTGCATTTCATTGACTATGCAAAGGCATTTGACTTTGTGTATCATAACAAACTGTGGCTGACTCTGAGAAGAATGGGATTCCCAGAAACCTTGATCGTGCTAATGAGAAACCTATACTTGGACCAAGAGGCAGTCGTCAGAACAGAGCAAGGAAACACCGCATGGTTCAAAATTGGGAAGGGTGTACACCAGGGATGTGTCCTGTCTCCATACCTTTTCAACCTGT